AGGCTGCGCTGGGGAGGCAGGGTCCCCGTCAGTAACAGTGCGCGTTTGTGAAGGATTTAGGGTGTTTCCACCTCATTTTGAGGGCAGGTCTGTTTCTGAGGCGTTGCGGGTGGCTCCGAGGCCGCCTCGCAGTTGTGCTGAGTGAGTAGTTGGGTTTTGGGCTGACGCTCACTGCAAAGCTGGGAGTAAGCTTCATCCCGGTGCCTTTTAGTGTCTGTAGAAGCTGCTGTGGCGAGAGGTGCTGGAGGAGTAAGTGTGGGGTTTTACTCAGTGCTTTGTCTGTCAGAGTAAACTCGTGATGGGGGGGAGGACTTTGGTGGGGAGGGCTGGTTACACTGGCCTCTCTGGCCCTGAAGAGAGCGGATCATGTTGGAGGACATTGGGCTTCTTGGCTGAGAAGGGCGATTTTGGTGATGCTGGGTATTGACTGGGCTCGCAGCAGTTAGTTGTGCTGTGTAATGCAAGGGTTCAACTTGCTTGCAGGCCAGCCCTACAGTTGTGCTGGCACAGCCTAAAGCTGCCTTTTCCTTGCCCTTTAGTGCCAGATTGCTTCAGCATGCAGCTTAGGTAAGAATTATAGGAGCACGCGTTCATGGTTGGGAGTCAAATCGATTATTTATAGCGGATATTTACAGCCTGTCATAAAAAACCGTGTTGTTTGCTGTGATATTGAATCCTATGTTTTTTTAAAGCCAGCCCAAATTCAATTAAGTAACTCCCATCATACTTTCCTCAGACAGATGCACTAAAGTAACATGAATGTGAAGGAATAAACTTATGAGGTGCAACATACCAAATGTCTTGTAGAACTACAAAACCTAGAAATTTCTAGGTCCTCCTGGCTCTAGAATGACAACTCATAGTCTGTCATGGTGCTGTATAATTCACCAGGAGGTGCTTAGGGGTTCATTCACAAAGTTGTGCAGTGTAAGTTGGAAGCTGGAGAGGACAGAGCTGTGCAACTCATGGCTGTAAAATACAATGGGCTTCCTCTGTGTGTTAAAATACTTACTGGGAGCCAGACTTCACAGGTGTTATATATGTCTGTAGGCATGGTGCGTGGCTTTTATATTTTACTGGTAACTGTGGTGAAGAGGGAGGTTTGCATATGGCAGGAACAGGCTTTCTAATTTTGCTCTGGATGGCAGCTGTTGCACATGAGCTCTAAGTGAGCAGCTCAGAGAAGGGCTTGCATGGGGCAGGAAAACCCACAAACTTGTGATGTGGGGACTTGAGTGCTGCTCTTCTCCCATGCTGAGACCTGAGATCGTCTGAGGCTGTAGGTTGGATCCCCAAAGGCGAAGGAAAGGAATTAAACTCTTTGGTGAGACTTGTGCTGAGGTTCCTGCTGCTTGTGCTTTACAGTAGTGGTTGCTGTTGTGCTAAATCTACTGCAGAGCTTCAGTGTATACTGTTGCAAAGATCTCTTTTGACTGTCTTTATCCTTGACTATGTGGTAACAATCTTCTCTTTTGCTTTCACTCGATAGGAATAATGTTTCCAACATGTCTGTGCAGTCGCTGCTTTGTGAAAGAATTGCTGTTGCCAAAGAATTGATCAAGAGAGCAGAAGCCCTTTCCAAGTCCCAGAAAAGGAGAATAGAAGGTGGGGCAAAACTATGCAGCAAACTGAAGGCTGAGCTAAACTTCTTACACAAGGTGGAGGCAGGGAAGGTGGCCATTAAAGAATCCCATCTGCAGAGTACAAACCTTACCCATCTCCAGGCCATTATTCAGTCCGCAGAGAACCTGGAGGACGTTGTCAGCGTCCTCCATGTCTTTGCTTATGAGGACAGGTTTGGAGACAAGCAGACCTTGGTGGTGGATGTTGTTGCAAACGGAGGTCACACGTGGGTGAAGGCCATCGGCCGTAAGGCTGAGGCCCTGCATAACATCTGGCTGGGGAGAGGCCAGTATGGTGACAAAAGCATCATTGAGCAGGCGGAGGACTTCCTGCAAGCAAGCCATCAGCAGCCAGTGGAGTACAGCAATCCCCACATAATCTTTGCCTTCTACAACAGCGTGTCCAGTCCTATGGCAGAGCGGCTCAAGGAGATGGGAATATCTGTGCGAGGAGACATTGTTGCTGTGAACTCACTGGCAGAGCCGTCCACAGGAAACCAGCACCTTGGCGCCAGTGAATCGGATGAAGAAGGCCCTGAACTCCTGCAGGTGACCAGAGTAGACCGGGAGAATTTAGTGGCCAGTGTTGCTTTTCCTACCCAGATTAAAGTAAACGTGTGCAACAGGGTTAACTTGGACATCACTACCTTAATAACCTACGTCTCTGCTCTGAGCTATGGTGGCTGCTACTTCATCTTCAAAGAGAAAGTGCTGACGGAGCAAGCTGCTCAGGAAAGGAGGGAGAGAGTCCTGCCTCGGCTGGAGGAGTTCATGGAGGGGAAGGAGCTGTTTGCCTGCGAATCTGCTGTCAGAGATTTTCAGTCCATCTTGGAAACGCTGGGAGGACCTGGGGAGAAAGAACGAGCTGCAATGCTTGTGAGAAGAATTAAAGTGGTGCCAGATCAGCCATCTGACCGTGCCTTAGGACTAGTGGCTAGTTCAAAAATCAACAGCCGTTCTCTAACCATTTTTGGGACAGGAGACACTTTAAAAGCTATCACCATGACTGCAAATAGTGGGTTTGTGAGGGCAGCAGCTAACCAAGGTGTCAGGTTCAGTGTTTTTGTCCATCAGCCACGTGCATTGACAGAAAGCAAAGAATCTGTTGCCACACCTTTACCAAAGAGCTGCCCGCCTGGTAATGGACTATAAGTCATTGAATGAGTTATTAGAATGCTGCAGGGGAGGCATTTGGAGAAACACAAGAATCCTAACGATACATTTTTGGGTGTGTATCAGTGAGTGCAGTGACTGTAGCAGTGGAAGGGCTCCTCAAGGGATTTGCAGTATCTTTACTCAGTCCTTAGGGGATATTTTGTTCAGCTGGCCATTAATTTATTCGCTAAGGTAGTAAGATTTCAGTGCAAATTGTTAACTGGCTTACAGTATATTGTATCCATCCCTATTAAAACGTTCAGTTAAAGCACAGTTGTTGTGCCCTTGTCATTTTTGTCCTCCTCGGGGAGATTAAATTCAGCGCCTTACATGGACTTCAGACTTGGCTTCTGTGGAACTGAAATCTTTCTTTCATCTGACTGAATTTTTTGTTGATTCAGGGGTACTTTGTGTAGAGAATTATGCCTTTTTGGGTGTATGTTGTTTCATGAAGTCATGACTAGTGGCTGTGAATAGAAACCAACTTAAGTCTTCCTTCCTTTCTTGAAAGGAACCTCTGTATGTGTACCATGTTAGACTGAATTGGGCAACAGCTTTAAAATTCCCATAAAAATCAGTTGAAATTGGAGTTTATTGGTACTAATATGTTGTCACTCTTGGGCTGAACTGGACATCCAGTGGTAGCAGATCAAGGAGGCAAATCCACTTCCCTTTCCTCTTTGCCAAATGCAAAGTCTTGCTGGGAGCAAAACCCAGCTTAAGGCTTTGAGATAGCAGAATGCTCCTACATCGAGCCAGCACACAGGTGGGTTCTGATACTAATGAGCTCCCTGCTGAGGACTCATGGCAAGCTCCAGTTTGATTTTGTTGTTTGTGGGTTACCTGAAACAAAGGCTCACTGAGGTCCTTCAGTGTTGGTGTGGCAGAGGAGGAGGTTTGTGGGGCACGTTGTTAAATGCGAGGTTGCCCTATAGTAGGGAGAAGCTCTTTCACTGGTGTTTTTTGCTGGCTTTACTCAAAAGTGTAGACTAAACAACCATTCCTTATTTTTTGTTTTCCAGGAGAGACTTGCAGTTTGGGAAGTCTTTCCAATGTGTTTCTGTATGCAGTAATGACAGGAGTTGCTGATTGGTATTAAATTGCATCAGATTCCTAGTGGAAAATACTGAGATGCCGGAGTGAACCTCTTGGTCCCGAGCTATACATTTTATCAGGTCAGTGAAAGAGATACTCACTGAATGTTTTGTAGGCTGTTGTTCAACAAGATAGCATTATTATGCAGCCTATAGGTCAGGCAAAGAACATTCCCTTGCCTCTTGCTGCTCCACTCTAAATTTCTTCCAATAGTACAGAGTAGCTCCCCTTGGCCAGAGTCTAAACTTATTTCTTTCTGTCTCCAGTGGTCTGGTATACTCCAACACTGGTGTAAAGGTACTGGCATGCCAGCAAAACTACTCTGCATGCCTCTTCCAGCTGAGTAATCTTAACTCCAAGGAGCAAAGGTGTACTTCTGTCAGTATGACTCTTGCTCTGATCTTACTATGCCTGTAGAGTAACCTGTTAGGAGTTGTCACCAGTATCCAGGTGCTGCATATCTTTACCTGTAACTCCTAACAGTGCAAAGTCCAGTCTGTTTTTACTTACTCCTCATTTCTGCTGGTCACTGAGGTCGTTCATGTGGTTTAGTTAAGATGAGTGGAACTGGATTTTGTTGTTCGCTGCTTCAACAGCCAGTCTTCTACCTGCCAGTTTCACAGTTCTCCCTTGGTAAGCTGTTCTAACAAAAGATGTAACTTGTTCCTACAGTCTTAATGCAGTGTAATGAAACCTCATGGCAGGACACATACCCGCTGATTCCATTAATTCTCCTGGAAGTTCAGAAGGGAAAGGAGGAGCAGAGCAATGAAATTACATAGGTAACGTGCTGGCTGTGCTGCAGAAAAGCAAGTCTGCCTTAGTGGTTAGTGCAAGCTTCAGCACACAGGAGCTTTAGGAGACAGTGCTTTATCATGGGACGATGGATTTACCAGAGCACAAACATGCTCACAAATATAAAGAGCTGGAAGGAAAAGTGCCTTTCATTTCTGCCATGGGAATTCTTACTCTGGACACCTCTGTGATGTCTTTCCTTTGCATCAGGTGTGGGAGTAGAGGTGGGAGAGGGGAAGAAGAAAGAACATTGTGTTTCAAAACTCTTTCTGTTTGATATCAAAGTCCTGAAAGAAGGTGCATATTACTGTTCCTAGTGCATCATTTATAAACAATCAACCGGGGGGGGCATTCTTTTTGTTTACAACTCAGAGCATGGTAATTCGTTATGACCTTTCAAGAACTAATCCTTTAAGTTACTTTTAATTTGCTTGCGACCTTCCTACTCTGGTGAGGGTTTGAATGAGTAAATGGGAGAGAGCTGCTTCCGTCCACTTCAGCTCTGTTTAAAAGCCTCTGTCTCTGGAGCCATCGTGTGGTGATTTTCTTCATTACCAGTCTTTTGCCCAACACAGTATTTGTCAGTGAATCGATTTTCTTTCTTTTACCAGTTTACCAATCATATGAGCAACATTACAGGAATGCGAAACTCTAGAAATTCTATGTAATGTGTTTTGAGTGGAATATTTGGTGGTCTTTGTGTTGCCTTCCAAGATACTGGTGATCTCTATATATAAACTGGTGCTCTGGCTTGGTGTGTTTAGATTCTACTTCATTTCACAGAGGGGGGGTGGTGGTCTTTGTGTTGCCTTCCAAGATACTGTTGATCTCTATATATAAACTGGTGTTCTGGCTTGGTGTGTTTAGGTTCTACTTCATTTCACAGAGGGGGGATTAGATGTTGCACTTATTTATGACTTGAGAAATGAGTAAACAGAAGATACCAAATTATGTTTTAAATTAAGTTGATAAGCACAGAAATCAAAGACTGCTCATCTTTTCTTCTAGTATCATACAACTGCTTTGTCTACACTACAGCAGGCACTCGAGGATCCAGAGATGTCTCACTTGCTGCTATGGATTTTGTTTGGGATTTTCAGTGTCCTTGGCAAGGGTGGATTCCTAAACTGTTTCAGAGAAACAGTTCTTGTGGCACTTTTAATTTACTTTACATTATCTCTATATGGTCCCACAGTCTCTGAGGGGAGCCAGCATCTCTGTTCTGTGCAGTACTCAGCCTGCTGTTGTTGCTCCTACAGTAAGAATTCCAAACAAGTGCTGCAGGTGATGCCAGGCAGTGGAAAGCACTTGGATATTATATGAGAAATAAATAGGCAAGTTGTTAATACATTCATGTTTCTAATTTGGCTTCTACACTTCTGACAAAGGCAAACTTATTTTTGGCCACAGCTGTGTATATCCTTTACTTACTGTGGTTCTGGCTGACGAAATTTGCAGATCAGTAACTTGTTTGTCGTTGTACTTGCAAGCCATGAAGATGCTCAGAGGTAGTTTTGGGTGTTGCAGCCACAGCTCTGTAGAAGTATTATTCTTTGGTAGATTAATGGGCAGGGTAAGTAGTGATTTGTGTTTCAGACTTGTCCCCCTTACCTGATGATGCCTTCAGCAGACATAGAAAAGTCTGCTGCAGTCATCTGGAGCCTGTGTGAAAACACTTTCACAACCCTGTTCCTAGGTCCTGAAAACTGAACGTAGGCTTGGTCACAACAGCAATAAAACAAAACCCCACAATCATCAGTTGTTTGAGAGAAGTTTGAGGGGAGACCTCAGAAAAAAATACCTTAAAATCTTTTTTGTTCAATTGGAGGTCTTACAATAACGACAGAGCATGTAGTTGCAATTACATTCTTTATTTCAGGTTACTCAGCAAGCAAAGCAGCACAGGTTGCCTGTTAGCTAATTAACCTGGTACAGTAAGTGAGAACTAGGCAGGGTTCTTGACCTGAAGGTCTGTGGTTACAGTTCTCCTGCAAGCTGTAGTTTTAGGAACTGCTCCACCATCCAGCTTGCTGCAGGCACCTCCTTTGTGTTCGTGTGTGGCAAAACCAACTCTGTAGGTACGTGTGGCTGTTTCTTTCCCACCAAGATTTATTGCAGTAGTTTATTCTAGAGTAAAACCAAAGAGAGTGAATGTGAAACTACAACAGAAATGCTTGGAATTGTGGGGCTGTGCACATTGTTCGCTATGAAGGCCACAGAAATTAAGATTGTGCCTACTGAAACTGTTGTAAAGAATAAACACACACACACAAAACCCCCTCAAGCCTCCATTGTTCAGAAGCAAATTCTGCTCATTTAAAAGATCCTCACTTACAACGTCTCACATAAGACATTCCTCAGTCATAAAAAATCTACCAAAAGCCAAAATAACACGACCAACAACCCCAGCCTAACAAAAGAAACCCAAAAGAATTAACATCATCTGATAGTGAGGCTGAGCACATGATAAAGCAGCTCACTGTGGGATGAGAGACACCACAGGGCACAGCAGTTTTACAGTGCAGTGTAGGTACCAAAATCAGGAGTGAGTAGCAAGAGTGGTTGAAAGTGGTTTTTTGCCAAGGTTCGTCACATCCATTTCCTGAAGCATTTGAGGTCTCAACACTGCTTTGGTGGTAGCGGTAGTGAAGGTGATGGACTTCCCTGAGCTTGCTGTAAACTACCATAGTACTATCTAGTTCTGTTGGTGGTAGTAATGCTGGCCAATTTGGGGGGTTGCTCCATTTGCTGAAGCCACACTGGACACAATACTATAATTTGCAGTTTTGCTAGCACAGACATAGTCCTAAATGCTGTTGAGGTATGTGGGAGAAACATTTCAAAGGAAATGTGTTCAAGGGAAAATACTCTCCAACGATGAGGCAGCTGATGTGAACAGGAGTAAAGGAATATGGAAGGGTAAGTCGGTGTTGGATTGTCTTGCTAGCCAGGAAAGCGTGGCAGGAATGGGTGAGGATGGGGGAAAAGTAATCCTTCAGGCTATTCCCTTCCATGCTCTGTGTCCGGTTTTGAGCTATGGAGAAGTTGCTCATAGCTCTAAGGGAGAAAGGGTGAGTGTCACACAACCTCCTTACTACATATGGATAGATGAATGGTATCACAGCCCCTCTGCTGGTTTGTAGTCGCTGCAATTCTGACTTC